CCTACAGATAATGTGAACTCAGCCAGGACAGGCTGTACAAAGTGATAATTAGGCAAAATGTTAGTAATGAACAGACTGCAATTCACTACACTTTCGGATTCAAATCTCACCTCTGTGCACTGCTGTGGTTTATAGCCACTGAGCCATCAAAGAGCAGAAGTGGATGTGCAGCCATGATCTGAAGCCTGTGAACATTTGCCATTTTCCCTCTGCATGTGATGCTTGTCATTGTGCTAACCCAAGCAGCTGCCTACAATGGATCCACAGGACTGGAATGATTTACATCTTCTACCAGCAGTGGGTATAAGCTAACTCTGTGCCTGACAGCAAGAAGCAACACAGCCTGGAAGGTTAGGACAACCATGAAGTGAAGGTAGATTTGCAGCTGAAACATTTTGCTCCCAATTTGGAGATGCACCTTCAGTCTCCAGCTCTTACTGCAAACTCAGAGCACAAGCTCAAATAACACACCTCCCTTCCCTCTGCATCACCTCCACACACAGAAAACTGAGACAAATCTTTTCCCTGATGTTTCTGATCTGCATGCCCTTTGGGCACTGCATTCTTAAGTCTAAGTGTAGCCCTTAGTGCCAGGCCCTGATCTCAATAGCATTTTCTAGGCATTGCCGAAGTACAGTGATTAATTAAGTACACTTCAGCTGCTGCCCAGGCTGAGAATGCTCTAATTATTCCTCCACAAAAAGGAAATTCGCTTGGAAATGAGTGACCTGTCTCCCATCATTACAGACCTACAATTTCTCCTCCTTCGCTATAAGGTCCAGTGTCGCAATGGCCACCACACAGGCTGGAAGAGCACAGAAATGCCTCATCCCTCCCAGAGAGCACTTAATTTTGCTGACACAAAACAGAGAATCATAGAATCAACCAGGTTGGAAAAGACCTTTAAGATCATCAAGTCCAACCGTTCCCCAGCGCTGCCAAGGCCACCACTAACCCGTGTCACTAACGTCCTTGTCTACACGGTTTGTGAACACTTCCAGAGATGGGAACTCCACCACGGCCCTGGGCAGCTTGTTCCAATGCCTGACCACCCTTTGGGGAAGAAATGGCTCCTAATATCCAGTCTAAACCTTCCTTGTGCAGCTTGAGGCCATTTCCTCTTGTCCTATCACTTGTTACTTGGGAGAAGAGACTGACCCCCACCTTATACAACCTCCTTTCAGGTAGTTACAGAGAGTGATAACGTCGCCCCTGAGCCTTCTCTTCTCCAGACTAAACACCCCAGTTCCTCAGCCATTCCTCATCAGACTTGATCTCCAGACCCTTCACACACAGCCACAGGCAGCTCTGTTGGGAGCAGATGCTGAAATGGTGGAAGGAAGCTCTATTTCAATTAAGACAAATTAATTTCTGCAAATTCCAATCACAGCCCCTTTTCAGTTTTTCCAAACACGCTTGATTGTCCCCCTTCCCCCAGCTACATAAGCCTGCTAGTATTGTCCAGCAGCATATACTGGGTTTCACTTCCCCCAGTGTACCCACTTTGCTTTCTTAATAAAATCCCTTTATTCTCACCTGCTGCATCCAGACACAGATTTGTTCTTGCTGTGTTAAACAGTGCAGGTTTTCACAAGCACAGATTTTATCATCCAGTAGCAAATACACTCGCTATCTGGCTGCCAGAACATCATCATTACCACATGGATCCTCTGGGTCACTTCTGCAAAGGTAGGAGAGCTGCTCCCTCACTTTTTGACTTTGGACAGATTGTTTGCTGAAAAACATTCAGAGTTTTATAAAGTTGTCTTCTTACAATAAAGACTAAATGGGACTGAACCTGCTACTGTAGTAGTTGTGGAATGGTTTCTTGTCCTAACAGATCAAAACCGCCCCCTAACACCAACATGAGAAAACGTAAGCTAAAGCATTTGGATAACTGGTTTACAGGAGCTGACAGATCCTGGCAGTGTGGAGTCTCTACTCCACACTACAGTAGTTTACTATAGACAGACACAGTTCCATGGTTTTGCAAACATGGGTCGTTTCTCCTTCATTCAGCAACGTGTCCACCGCCTGCCTTGTTGCAAGCACAGTGTGTGCTAGAGTCATGGCCTAACTCAATCCGCCAGTGCTGCCACTCACAAAAGGAGGGACCCTCATGGTGCCAAAATGCTATTCAGAACTCTGGTCCAAATGAGACTGAGAAGATGGATCTGCACATGTCACCACAACATTACTTCAAAATCTACTACTTCTGATAGCAGGGATGAAACAAATCCACTTAAGTTCAAGGGGAGACCAGACAGGTTCTTAGGGAAAAAATAATTAAAACCAAGCAATCTACTGAGGGTGGAGTAAATTCCTGGAAACCACATCTGGCTCAGGAAGTCCTGATGGAGGCTGAACTAGTTTGAGAGCAGGAGGGAACCTAAGGGAAGTTCCTGCACTCTTCCCCAGGCATCTTCTTTCAGCCAGTGCTGGAGACAGAAGACCAGGCTGGATGGACCTTATGCCTGACCCAGCACGGCAGCTTTTCCATTCCTAGGACAAGGCTTGCATTCTTTATCCTGATGTCTAGCCCATCTGCACATGAACAACCATCCTGCTGCAAATTACTGGTTTATGGCCTGTTTCAGGCAAATGGTTTCTCTACACTGCAGATAGTTAAGACCTTCAACATTGCCAGAATTCCTTTTTCTTTGGCTTTCTGACAAAACAAGAGTCTTATTCCAAACACCATCACTAACTCGTGATTTGGCCTCAGGGAAGTCCATGCATCTATTTTATTTGTATAGCAGCCTCACTAATTTATTGCCAGACAGAATAAAAGTGGATGTGAATTTTTATTAACATTGACAATGTTAAAACTAGAAGTTATGGATGAGAAATCAATGCATTCTCTAAGTTACAAAAGCAAATGACTAGTGACACAAGAATTGATTATAACAAGCCCCATCAAGGAGGAGACTTGCCTGTAATCGTGGTGTTGTGATAACAAAGCAGGTTGTGGTTTCACAAACCCAGTAAGCCAGCATCTGTCAGTTTGGTGACTATTCTCCTAGGCATTTATTCTCACCCCCATGCCTGCTCCCTCCATGTACAGAAACCTTCCTGGCTTCCTAAACCTGTGTTTGCTGTACTGTTGAACCAGAAGCATTGAACTCAATGGAGATACCATCTCCATAGCACCTTACAAGCCTCCTCCTTAACCTGCTACTACCTATTCCTCTTTGCACATGGAGAATAAGTGTTCGATTTTCCCTCTTTATCACAGAAGCCGGCAGCCTGTTGTGTGTCTCCCAGTTAACACTCTTTTCTGCTCCATGGGAGAATAAATCCTATACTTTCAAGTCTTTTAATTGGCTAGAAGAATAAAACCAGAAGCAATAGTTAAAGCTGCATTTACTTTGAATTTTACTGCATCCAGACATACCTGATAAAAGGACTTTTGAGGGTGAAAGTGTGTTGATTTTTTCTCAATTATACCAAATGGTCTAATAGGAGAGATTATCTCTCCCTGTGAATCTTGCCTCTATAATGTCAAATCACACTGGAATACTTGCTCACCTATTACAGACAGGGGGAGGAAGACTTACCTTACAATACTAATAACCTGGAAATTAGAGATGTAAAACTAAATTACAGCAACTGCAGGAACAGACCACAGTGGACCATTTCTCCTTAGACCGAGAGCAAACATGGCTCACAAGCACACCACCATGTAAGAACACATAAAGCTCCAAAAGAAACTGACTGAAATATTGTGAATTAAGCCAAGGAAAAAAACATCAATTAATACAAATAATATTCTTGTTATGCTGCCTTAATAATTAAGTATATTCTAAATGCAAGCTACCTGTGCTGAAGAACATGCACCAGTTCGTGGTGTGTTAAAAGATAAATAGCCAGGGAATGCTCAGGCCTGATTTTCTAAAGAATCTGACACACTTAACGTTAATCTTGGGTCTTGACATGTCTCCAGCACTTCAGTTGGTAGGGCTCGTGCAGTCAAACACATAACCTCACCATCAATGAGGGACCTGGACCAGAAAAGACCACTTACACAGGTGGAGAGGAGCAGATTTGAGCCTGTTCTCCATGCTAGAACTGCTTGTCATGTAGTGTGCACTCTGCATCAGGCTGGAGCTCCTCAACGAGAGCTTTGGCCTGACTGGTGTGTCTTGACACAGTCCAAGCTTTTGTTCCTATGTTCTGGACAGACAAGAATGGGCAGGACTGAGCAAGCTCACTCTAACACCAGCAGCAGAGATATCCCAAAGTTGAGTTTTCCTAAACAATAAGTGCTGACATTTTGAACCAAAGCCAGTGGTATGGGCAGAGAGCCCACTGTTAACCTTGCAGCGTAGCTACAGCTAGAGCTACTGGGCAGATGCCCAAGGTGATGATGAGTAACCTCAGCAAAGCAGAAAAGTGAGCCAACAATCTCTTTTAAGAGCCCAATGATGTTTGTATCCATCTCTGCCAGCAGAGATTGCACTAGAGCACAGTCAGACTGCAGTGTTGTGCATTAGAATGGGGGAATAAAACCTTACTCCTTCCACAGGACCTGTCAGAAAGGCATCCCAGGAGCCAGTTAACACTCCTGGAGCTGCTTCAGTAGCTCACCACAGGTGAGAGAGAGAAAGAGGACAGAGAGCTACTTTCAACTGACACAGAGATAAGGGGAGTAAAGATTGGGATGGCGACTGTGTAGTAGCAAGCAGCATGCTCAGAGTATACAAAAATCAAGGGATAATTATCTGCCAGAAGTACTTTACTAAACACTAGGAAGAGACCTAACAAAAGCATAGAAAGCAATCTAAACAGCACAGCAGAGGAAACATCTCAGGGATTTGCTGCTTGCTTTAAGTCTGACAAGCTAATGCTGAGTCTCCACTAAGTGTAATTAATGATAACAAAACTCTATCTAGAAAAATTATACTAGCAGCAAAATATATAACCTTTATTACAAAACTCTTCACTTCTAAAAGTGGTATTAAGAGCTGACTACAGCCAGAACCCACATCACAAGGTTATGATTTTCTGAGATAAAGCATCGCAGTTACACAGTCACTTTCAAAGCTCTGAAATACAAACCTTTCCCTGAGAAATGGCAATGTAAAAATCCTTAATGAATAGTAGTGTTTCTAGCACTTCTCAAGAATTTTCAAGTTTTATGAATAACAGAAAAACTGAGGATAAAAAATGCTTGAATTATATTGACATGAGAATTTTGGCTCCTTTCTCTGGTCTCACTCAGACAGAGGAGAGCAGAATTCAGCAGTATTGTTCCATATCTGAGTAACGGGTTCCAGCAGGAGTGGCACACGAAATTACCCACCCAGGCACTCCATCCAGATCCCAGAGAGGCTTCTGCTGATGGTCAGAATCACTCACCGCTAACAAGATTGCCCAGGAGAACTAACCTGATTTCCTGGGTTCGTTTTGCTTCATTACAGACTGAGCAGAGCATTTATTTTTCCACTAACTGAAACACGGACCCTCAGAGGGTCATTTCTGAGTTGCTTATGACCAGGACTCTAGTGGAATCAGCATCTAGAAGTGGCAGTTCCACTGCACATGAACAGATATCCTTCCCTTAAAGGAATAACTCAGGTTATTCCTATATGACCCGTGACCGTGTCACTGCAGATGGCATTATGGACTTACTAAAGGTTTCCTTTTAAAGAAGACTACTAGAATGAGTGTTTTGAAATAAATGCTTTGCAAAGAGAAATGGTATTATTTTTCTAAGGCTTTGTATAAAGCTACTTCAAGAATCTCTAAGGCAATAACAAGGAAGGATTTTCCTCACACGGTACTTTTTTCAATAAACAACCCTTAATTTGCTCCCCTGAAAGCACTATGTTTTCTCCACAAGACACTGTGCTCTTACAGCTCATGCGGACTGAGCAGTGCCAAAATCCTTCAGTGATACAGAGCTTCCTTTCATTTAAGGTTACTCAGATAATTCCAGTGTATCCTTCTGAATAAAAGCAACTAAGGGAAGGTTCAGGTACCTTGCAGCAGTGTTCCTGTGGAGGTCTGCTGTTTTCTGGTCTGCCTGTCTTGCGTTTCACTGTCAGATCCTTCATCCTCTCGAATCTCTACGTCGGAATCGCCATTAGCTTGTTGAAACAAAAACAGTTGATAAATGTAATTCAAACCAACAAAACAGTCTCTACTCTCTTCCAAGATTAATGAAAAATGCAGTCACAGGCAGAGCATTGGTTCTACTGATGAGGACAGGGAAACAGCCAACGTCCACGTCCTGAGGAAGGCTTACTTCTTCACAGAAGTGCCAAAGCAGCACAGGTTATAAACATTGTCTTGGAATAATCTTTGGATTGTACCATTACACTGTTCTAAATACATTCTCTGGGTATCAAGTGTACGTACAGTCAGAAGGTGTTATTTCAGCGACTGATTTAAAAGATAAAAACCTTTTAAAAGTGTTTGGAGAGCGTGGGCTTATTAATACATCTCCTAGTCTTTTACCCTGACATAAGCAATATCAAAACCTCCTAGACTCTTCACCTCCCATTTAATCACAGTTTAGAAAAGTACAGTAAGACGTCCCCAGATAAACAAGAGCAGTTACAGCCAAACCCAAGAGATAGGAAAGCTTCACAAGAAGCATAATCTACTTCAGCTATTTCCATAATCTGCCTTTGTTTTCTTCTTCCTATCCAAACTAAAGCCCCTCTCCATCAGCTGAACAGAGCTGATGCTGTGTGGTGCTTGTGGAACTAGTGCTATGGCAAACTCACTAGCATCCCATGTGAGTTCAGCCCCCAACACAGCAACAATAGCTACTAATTATTTAGAGAAAAGAGGCAATTCTTTGACAAGTACATTGAATTACACATGTCTAAGCTGAAAATAGAAATAACCACTTTAATTATGATTAGTAATGAACTGACACATCTTTCCACTATTTAATTATCAGACAATATACAAATATTAGGCATTTTTCCATAATGTTTTTCATTGCAATATTAAGTTAATGACAAAATATAATGGCAAGGGATGTATTTGATACCCTGGTAAGATTACAAAGCTGCAGCAATGTTAGAATCATAGACTCGCAGACTGGTTTGGGTTGGAAGGGACCTTAAAACTCATCCAGTTCCAAGCCCCTGACATGGGCAGGGAATTAGCTACAATTTCTATTTGTGTTGCACCTTCTTCTTTGGCAAGTGAAGGAATCACTTGCTGCCCTGTGAACTGAATACTGTTTCTGTTTACCTAGTGTTCAGGAAAGTGAGGTTTTGTTCAGCACTTGCCCAAGCAAACTCCTTGGGAAGAGCAATGTAGAGCCTGGATAAAGGATTCAGGTTTGTGCTCTGTATGTTAAAGAACCAGACTATCTCGTCTGCCATGGCTCTCATTGCTACTACTAGAACACCCTCATTCTTATTTTGTGCCTTTTCTTTTTTCTTCCTTTTTTCCCTCCTTTTCAGGCTGTCATTTTTTACACAGTAACAGTGGCCAGAGCCAAGGATACTGCAGAGAGCCCTTATGATCACTTTGCCAAACCATTTCCATTTCATCCCCATTAGCACTGTCTGCTTCTCACTGGGATCTCCCCAGAGCATGAGTTGTTGGCTGAGATGGGACTAATAGAGTCAGTGCTCTGCACGCACAACCCAAAGTGGCCAATGCAGCTACTACCACTTTGGCGACACGGCTTAGAGCAGGGAGGCAGTTCTGCTCTGGCTGGGGGCACAACTTAAACATGGGGCTTGAATTTTCCATTTCACTTTTCTGGAAACCCTTTTTCCTTTTTTTAAACCATTTGTGTTAACAGACTCTCAGCTATAACATATACATACATTTCCCTTAGGACAAAGCAGCAGTAAGAAAACAAGAATACACAGGAATTAATCCTTCTGGTGTACCCACACCTGTGGCTTAATGCTCTCCTGCACCACATGAACCCTTCCAGCTCCCTGCACTCCAGCTACTTCTGACCCATTTCAGCTTGCAAAAAGGAAGCTCGTTTCATTGTGTAATTCCACACAGTACCTTTCTGTTGGAAAGTGGGTCTTGCAGGAAAATCCCACAGTGAGTAAATGCCTTGCAACAGAAGTGATACCTACTGTGGAGAGAGAATCAGTGGCTGGAGGGCCCCAAGCTGCTGCTTTATGAAAGGAATTGGTTTAAATACAGCTTTTTTAATCCCTCACCTTGCCCTTTTCTTTTTTCCCTCAGGTTCTCTGCTATTCTTAATTCCCATCTTTCTCACACTGTGTCTTTTATCCCTCTTTCCCGCTAGCTTAGATGTTGTAATTCTTGCATGTAAGTGATGGAGCTGCAGTTTTCTGCTGTTCAGACCATATGTGGATGCCACAGAATACCCCTGGCAAGCCCCAGGGAAACATGCTTGTTTTGTGCCCCAGCTCTACTTTTTGTCTTCCAAAGCATGCTCAAAAAGCCAAGTCAGTAGTAACTGTATGTCTAGCTTCTACTTCCACCTTTATAAAGCCTGGATTACCCTTCAGTACAAATAAAGAAAAGATTCATTGGGCGAATTATCAACACAGAAGCCCAGTGCATTACTTTTCCTACTGACCTGTCACTTGTGAGCAAATCTTGTTACAGATCTATAGCGAGAGTTTGGATTTTCCTTGAATAGTCTATCTGGAATTCGGATGCATGTACCCCAGCATGAAGCATCACTACAGTGAACACACATGGGAGGATCCGAAAGTGGCAATGTAAATGCAAATTCAGCAATTGCAAAATTTCTGCCTCCAAGCCTCCTGCCCACCACTTGGAAAGACACCATGCACTTACCAAGAAATAAATGTATTGCTTTACCCCAGCTCAACGGCTGCTATCACCAAGCCCAGCTCTGTCTAATCTACAGTCTGAGTTATCAACTGAGCAGAATCATGCTGAGCCAAAATCCCAATGACACAGAAGCAGAGCATATTGCTGAAAATGGATTTAAATACACAAGATGAAGACAAGCTGAATACAGGGTTCTTAGCAGGATTAAGCAGCAGACTACTCCAATGCTGTGTGTGACCTGTCCTAGCCAGAGCACTGTAGGGTTCCACCATCCTACATCCTTCACTGTAGATGCCCACTGCCTTCAGTTTGCAACTAAACGTTCTTGGTATTCATAAAAAGGTGACAATTCAGAAAGTTTCATTGAACAACATCTAGAAAAAACCCCATTTGCTAGAAGAAGTCATAGCCACATCTGTTTAACAGAAATTATAATGCATCAATTACAGGGAGACAAGGAACATTCTTTATGGAGAAAATGCTGATTTTTTTAGTATCAGCATAAAGCAATGAAGATAATAAAGCATACAACTACAAATTCCCATGTCCTAGTACATGGAGTACAGAACACATTCTGCTAGAGCTGGCTTATGAGATTTGTATGGATTTATGTGAAGATTACTTGACTTTGCACAACAAACTGGTACTCAGCAATCCATGCGCCCGAATTTAGGCCAATGCTGGCAGCTTAAGGCTGGTCTTTTAACAAGCTCCTGCATTTTTATTAGAAAAAGGTCATCAACAGAACAACTCTACAAACTGTGTTTGGTCCATTTCCCCACTGCTGTGGTTTACTCTACTGCACAGAGAATTGTCCACAACATCAGACTACCTGAGAGAGAACATACAGGACATTAAACTCTGCTTGCCTTACATTGTAACATTGCCATTTCCTAAAGGTGGTCTTCAGTCAACTGAATTAGTTTTATTTAAAGCAGTCCAGTTGTAACCAGGATGTACTTTTTATGGCTGAAAACTGCAAACCACTGCTCTTGAGACGTGTTCTTTGTTCCAAAGCACACCTAGTGTTCCCAGAAAAAGCCAGAGCAGATACTTGGGCTGATAATACTGTATCTAAATGATTTAATTTAGGGTAATTTGCAATGCGTGAAGGAAAACCTGCATTATTTAATAAGTTACCAGTGATTTCATTACAGATTTGTTTGTTTGCATAAATATTCAAATGAATGTATCCAAGTGTAAAACAGGAAGGTACTGTGAGAAGGTAACGAGCACAAAGGACATCCTTTATTGATATACTTTAGCATGTTCCCTTTCCCAACAGAAATCCCTGCTCTGAAACACAGCCACTGTCTCCACAGCAATTACTGGAGTCAGCAGGATGTTGATTTTGGTGAAAAAACATCATGAAAACACAATCAAGTGGGCAACTGACAGTCACCTGAGCCAGGATAAAACCCATGTTAAGAAATTGCAGGAAATTTTAGAGCAAGAAAAGAAAGGATGGATTGGAATTTTAATGGGACTGAAGGGAGAGTGAAGTTCAGCGCCCATGTGAAAGCCGTGGGACTACCAAATCCATACTCATCTCCCCTAACACAAGAGCATCAGGCTGTGTATCAGCCTGAACACTTCTGTATTCACAGCTCTGCAACTTGTGCAGAAAGAAATGCTTCAATACATAAACTCAGTAGGGACCATCCTTTGTCCTTAGCACAGAACTGAGATCTTTCATCTAATCTCTAAGAAAAATTCATCCCAGTGCTGAGAGCTGCTAATTGAGATCCAGACTCTTGTGGTTCTACTGACTTCAGCAGAAAGCTTGGATGTTCACACCTGCCTGTGTTAATACGGGGCAACAAACCAGTTGTCAGTTCACAAACCAACACCAGGTCCAGCTGCACTGCCTGACCTTGCTTGGTCATCTTAAAAGGGTCTCTTGCTACAGTATCCAGTAAGGATGATTAACTGCTGCTCAGGGAGGCAATAGGTCTCTGTCACTTGAAATAATTAAAAGTAGCTCTGGCTGACAAGTTCCATTTAAACTGGTATTTGGAATCCTGGCACAGGAGTAAGTAGTTACATTAATTTTTAGCTCATTTTATAGAGAGGTCATATTCAGTGACCAGAACTATTCCTAATGACCTTAAAAGCCAAGAACCCATCAAAGTACTTTTAAATTAGAACATTAATTTGTTCTACTTTAAAATTTAATTAACATTAATTTAACAAGCAAAATGCAAGACTATTAGGGTCTGTGCCAAGTGTCTGTTACAGAAGATGGATGGTCTGAGCATCCTGCTGGTGACAGTGCTGAGCATCATCCAGGCATCTGGCCATTGTGGGAATTACCAAACAACTCACTGTTACACTTCAAATTCTGCAGTTGTTGCAATGGAGCTTTTTGTTTCTCTGCTGTCAGATTTTAAAGCATCTATTCTGGAGTAGAAAGGGTACAAGAGATACAGTTCACCACCAAACTGCAACAGCCTCGTACAATTTGTTATCCAAAGCACAACATCTATTTGCTCTGTTTAATGGAGCAACAGAGTGAATGGTTTTTTTTCCTCATTTTGCACATTTTGCTTGGCTATCAGCAAAGCAAGAGTTAGCTCAGCAAGTAGAGCTGGCCAAGGAAACACTCTGGCTGTGTATGGAGCAGAACTGAAGCTCTCCAGGAGCATCAGCTAACCCTGTTGCTATTGCTGAACACTACAGAGGTAGTGCAAATACTACGATAGAAGTAATGCTAATTCCAAAATGCTGTGTTACATGAATGTTTATTCATTCTACAGACCAAGCAAGAGCACGGAGGGACTGGAGTGGCACAGGCAATAAGAAAAAAGCAGTTTTACAGCAAATACTTTTGCAACCTGAAATTAAATCCTGGGTAGAGCACTGGCCAAAGGAAAGACAGGAAATATTTTTTAAGATTTCAAAGGGTTTATTTTTATACTTTTGAAGCAAAAACATTTTACTTTTTTAAAAAAACTACAGTTTGTATAGTCTGCTTTTAAATTGACCAAAAAAAACCAACTTCAAAAGAAAGAATGTGAGAAACTGCACATGAAAGAGCGTAAGCAGGTGAGAATGAAAGTAAATGTAATAAGCTGATTAGTCGAAAAAATATGTACTTCAGGCTAGAAACACAATTGTTACTTTTTGCTCCATAAACACATTTTTTCAACCTTGGGTGAACCTGAAAAAAAAGTTTGAATTTCTGCTGCGGCCAGTGATCTTCCTCTCACACCAAACCAGAGCACCTCCTCACATACCTACACCTAATGGTTCTGCCAACAGCCTTCACAGTGCTCATCTGAGCAGCATCTAATAGAATGTTTGAAGAGTCTCTGTGCCATTAACCACAAAGAAATCAAGCCCTAGAGCTTCAGTCAATGGGCATTTGTTACTTTGTATGAGCCTTGGATGCAACACAGGGGCAGCACTCTGCATGAAAAGCACCACATCATGTGCTGTCTTCTCTAAGAGCATCTTATGTGAAATAAAGACAAAAATAAAAGCAATTTACTTACTGCTCATCACAAAAGACATTTCTGAATTGCTGCAAATACTTCATTGTGTATATTTTCATCCTGCAAATAACACTCAAAGCCTGATGTGTATTAGAGTTTATTGGTAATTTAAGAACAGTTTTCCATATAACTTGTGTTAGCTTTTTTATTGTACAGTGTTGTTTTGGAGATGCTCTGTCTGAAAGAAAACATGATTTCAATGTATGCTAGCAAAAGAAAAAAAGAACCAGGCTGTTCCTGAATTATACTAAACATTCTTGCAAATTTTATGCGAGTACCATGACATATCCATGGGCTTTCTATATTCTTAACACAGATCTGCACAGTTCAACCTGCATGTCACAGCTCTTCTTTACAAGAAATATGATTTAGGTTTCTCTGGTGTTAGTTCAGCCTGAAACTCAACTAAGAGCTGTCCAGAATTCCTGCAACTGCTGCTGCAGAGAAATGAGCTGTTAATTTGCAGCCCTTCTTACAAAATTAGCAAGAGGTAAGGTCAAAGGATCCAGACAAGAGAACGGCATCGATTATGAAGGTACGCAAAGGTAAAAGAGTGCAAACAAGAGCTGAATGGATGCTGACTTTTATCAGTTAATGGTAACAAATTCATCACCAGATTCCAGCCTATGCTGTTAGAAGAGCCACATTAAGGTTTTGCAGCTCTTGGGGTAGGGGGTGGTGGGGAAAGCGTAATGAGAGTTAAAGAACTGTCCCTTTTCCTTGAGGAGACACTGGCCCTGTACTACCCCTCTGCATAGAAAAGCAATGATTGTTCAAACGAAGCTCACTCCACCACCCTCGACCTTCAAGATTCAGCCAGAGAGGCTTAGGATATTGGGAGACCTCATGCCAGCCTGCCCACCTTCCACCTAGAGGAGCTGCACAGGGAAGAAACTAATCCCTTCATCTCAGAACCTGTTGCACAAGCAAGACCAAGTCAGAACAGTGTCTACCTTACCAGTCCAGCAAGCAAACACAACGTGTTCATTGGACTAAAGGCCCAGACGATGCCCTAAATTTTCTGCCAAATTGAAGATGGTAGGAAACTCAGGATAAAAACACTTTGCTTTGTATGAGGGGCATGACTTCAAAATGCAACTGGAATGCTTTCTATCTCTAGTATGAATTTCACTATAAACCTGTGGGGGGAGGCTTTGGGCAGGCAAAGCTGTTCAGCGATGCTGCATTGATTCTGTGCTGATTCTTTGCTTCCTTTTGTGCAAAATATGTATTTTTCTTGTGACTAAGATCCTGGCATTAATGTGAATGTATCCCTAATGGAGCATTATGCCATTTAAGGCACCAAAACTCTGCATTTTCTTATTGAAACTATCTTGATTTTGAACTGCATAAAGTGTTTCATTTAGCTAATAACGAAAGGAGGAGAGTGGGGCTTGGTCTAAGGGGAAAGCACAGCCCAGTACCTGATCATTTTATGATAGCAAACCATGGTCTCAGACAGCTTTGCAACATTCAGTAAATTAATCTTACATTGTGCAGTAAGGAAGCATTTATCGTCTCAGTCACATCTCTGCAAGAATGAGGACTTACACATGTGCACATAAAGGCAGACTGGAGCTGACAAAGATGACTTGATTTTCCAAGGTTATGGGATACTCATATGAGCTGCCACTGAAAATCAGGATCCTGGTGCTCTTATCACTATAATACATACTAATTATGACAATTAAGTACTTGAATAAAGATGTATTATGGTAATATTTTTACTTGATGAAAACTCATGACCATGTGTTCTTAGATAGTACTTAAAACACTCCCTATAAAGGTTCATATTATTTCAGAGATGCAAAACGACAGGATAGTTTTCCAAGTGAAAATCCACAGAGAAGGAGAAAGCAGATGAACAAATTTTCACATCATACTTTATACCAATAGATGTTTGTCCGCTCTCGAACTTATTTACCCTGGAAACTGTTAGGTAGTAGGACCTAGACTTTTTCACTCAAACAATTCCACATCCTTGTAATTTATATTACAAATCCTATGTTTCAGCTTAAACTTCTTCACTTTTTTTTAATAAAAAGATGAGACCAAAGATGGGCAGCATCTTTCATGAGCTTGCTCTGAAAATCTCTGCCAGCAAACAAATTGTGAAGCATGGCTTTTATGTCTTTACTCAGTTTCAGCTTTCATGAACTCTCTCTCTGATCCTGAAAATTAACTTCCCTTCCATTTTCTTCTGCCACCACATAAAAATGCACATATTGCAATATTAAATTCACTGGAGTAATTAATGAGGAAGTTCTTGCTGATGCTTGGCTCAAAAGGAGCAAAATCTGTTTTGTTAGCTTTCCACAAGCTCTCAAGAGGCTATTATTCCCTTCTGATCCTCTGCTAGAGTGCTACTTAATTAAGAGTAAGTATATAAAAAAAGAACAAAACCCCTAAAATTTAATTGCATTCACATTTTCAGGTACACTAAAATCAAGCAAATGCAAGCAGGCAAATATGGTCCCACTTTGAAGATTAGTGATACTGAAAAGGGTTTCAAGCTGAGAGTTCTTCATCTGTGAAAGTTATGATCTGATAGGCACATCACAAAGAATTCGTCCGCACAGAGAAGCAAACTTAATGCCATGCAATGTGGCAGGCTAACTGCTGAGGACAGAAACTGCATTGGTTTGCAGGGACACCAGCACATGTGTAACATGGGGCAGTCAAGCAGTCCCACAAGCCAATGACACTACTCACCTACACGCAAACATTTTGCTGAGTAGAATTATCTAAACCAATCTGATCACAAACCAACTTTTCACCAGCAATTGTAGTGATAGGACAGGGGGTAATGCATTTAAACTTAACCAAGGGAAGTTCAGGTTAGATATAAGGAAGAAGTTCTCTACTGTGAAGGCAGTGAGGCACTGGAACAGGCTGCCCAAAGAAGAGGCAGTGTTCAAAGCCAGGCTGGACAGAACCTTGGGTGACATCACCTAGCGTGAGGTGTCCCTGCACATGGCAGGGGGATGGAACTAGATGATATTAAGGTCCTTTCCAACCCTAACCATCCTATGATTCTACAAATCCCATTATGCTGGAACAAGTGCTGTGTCTACAGCGAGTCCATATAATCCTTGGTAGGAGTAAAATGAAGCCTAAAATCTGCTCGCTGCAACTGAAGATTGTGCTTAGTGGATGACTGTTTCCATCTCAACACTGTAGATAAAATTTATAAGGTGAAGAAGCATTCCACAGAGGTCAGGCTCACTGTTGTCCTTTTACAGTTATTATCATTCCACTTTTTCTAACGTAAGCTCTTGGCTCTGACACCTATCCCATGTCCCCTCTGCTTCATGCTTGTAAGTGGATAGTTACACATGAAATAGCCAGTACTTAACTGCTAATATAAAGTGGTAAAGAAATCCCACTTACATGCACCCTTAAGCAGGAGCTGTTCCTCTTCCTTCAGCCTGTTCTGCATAAGACGGAGCATGTTTGCTGCTTCCTGCAAGAGGTAAAACCAAGCTGAATTAGAATAGCTGCCACGTTGGTCAGTCAAGTAGCTAACTGGAGTCACACAACAACAGTTCAGGGTACTCACAGGTAAGAATGAGAACAGAAGATTTCATCATTGAATATATTTTAGAAAAAAAGGGCCTTAATTGAAAAATGGGAGCTCCTACTTGGCCCATGAAGGTCAGGATATAAAGAGCATACCCAGGTAAAGAGCTCACAGAAAATCAACCATACAATCCCACCAGTTGAAACCTCACTGAACACATTGAAAATGAGTTTATCTTCATCCCACAGAAAATTACTGCTGATAATCAGAAGTGGGTTTCTTTGGAAAGCAGGCTTCGGTAGTTGTTTTCAACCAATACTCCATTGAACACCAGAAGTGTTTTGTGAAATGGCTGCAGCTTCATAATACAAAAACCAAACCAGAATAAATTCACACATTTCCAAGCATACAAACAAAATGAGAATCAAAAGCCCAATCAATAAGCTAGAGAATTAGAGCCGTATACTACACTACAGTATTTGCAAAGGAGAACCATGACAGCAAGACTGCACAAGGTGGTTTTTTGAAATTCTGTTGTGAATATAGCAGATTGTTAGATACAAATATGCTGAGAAACACTACTGTAATGACAGGGTGATGGAGTTACATCATGTGCAGTTCAGAGCAAGTGGAAAAGGTGCGTAGAGCAGTGGCTGCCTTGCTGAGGAAGAGAAGCAATTCACAAGTCTCAGCCCATTCAAATGAAGGCAAACGATGATAAAAAAATGGCACAAAAAAGCTCACAAGGACTTACAAGACATGTGACAGCCCAGAAGGGAAAAAGCAAGCTGGTGGCAGTGGGACAGCAGCAGTTACAACAGACATTCTCATTAGAGCATAATGGATTAGCAAGAAAACATAGATGGCTCTTGTAGACAGTAACTGATGAGAGTAATTTTAATCTTCTGGGATGCATGCACTTGCAGATCATCACAGACGAGGTAGACTAAAGGAACTATGTTATTGCTGAACACTACAAAGCAATTTTAGCAGATGTTTTGCTGTGCTCCTGAAGTACTCCATCCAGTTAAGACTAGAATCTAGCAAAGATACCAAGAGACTAAATTTTAGCAACTAAGGTTCATGATTCTAGTAGCAGCATCTGACATAAAAATATATTTTTAATGACATCTCATTTAGATTTGGCTAATGTTAATGGTGAATAGCAAATTAAACATGATAGAGTAGGTAAGATATGAATGCAATCAAATTCAGATAAAACCTACAAAACTAAACAGGTGGCAAACAACTGCTGGAAGGATTTAGCGACAAATTTTGCTAATTTTAGTCCTTGCAATTCCAGTCAAGCAAGACAAGTAGATGGAAAAGGTAATTAACTGTGGATTGAACTAAGGTTGTTCTGAGTCTTTGATTTTTCTGTGCAAAATATGCTTGTAATTAAAAACACCAGTTGCTTTGACATGGCCAGATCCGCACATTTACAGTGAGTGCGCAGAAAGGAAACCAAATTAGCTGGAATATCCATGGGACAGAGGGAAGAAAGAGCATCTGGAAATGGTTGAATGGTGGGCAACTTTCTTACAATTTCAGGTGGAAACCTGAACTGTACCCATATGTACAGCAATAGTGCACTAGCTGAGAAAGGAAAATCTCCTTCCACCATCCTCTAAAGCAGAAACAACAGCAGCAAACCACCAAGTCCCACCCAGCACACAAGGAAGTTGCTGGAAACAGAGGTATGAGGTCTGCTGGCACAATGCACCACAGCTTGGCATCAACATCTCTGTCTTGGGAGTTGAAATTTGTGCTGAAAAAGCTTGCAGAGAGGATGCTTACTGGTGGTAAGGGGAAGCAATACAACTCATCTGTACCTGGTGAGAAACTTAGAGCTTCTCTCAAGGCCACAGAGGGAACAAATTCTGATCCAAAAATCTGCTTTGGTCAACCATGCAAACTGTTGGCCATACAAATCCTCCAGCACTAATAGCGACAATGGCTCCACAGATGCTGCACAGATGCTACTGATTGCTTGGGACTGTAGAAATAGCAGCACAAAACTGAAGCAGGCATGACAGCTTTCAGGTCTATACAGCAGAGAGGTCACAATGTCAAATTATACTGCAGCTACTTGCACAACAGAAACTACTGAAACCTCAGAAATGATGGGTATATATTCTGCAGGGAGAAGCTAATTCAATCTACAAGAACAAGGAAGGCAGAGACACAAGCATGTTTTTAGAACTTGTTCCATGTAGATTCAAAAAATTTTAAATACCCTGTTCAGGAAACTGCTTTTCTTTATTAATTACTTCTGTAAGGAACAAATGACAGTGAAGACAGAAGAGTGTGACCCATGATGAAAGGAAAGGGAAGATGCAAGGATGCTGAGCATAGTGCAGTTACAGGAAGCGGGCCGATAAAGGTTACATGCCTCCTCTCCACCTATGCTGTTGATCACGATACAGGTGATCTCCATATAGCAGCGGTACATCCACACAGAGCCTGCAATTCTGCACAGATGAGTTCCATTGAGAAGAAGGGTAACCACTGCAAATGAGTATGTCTTCCATCCCCCTCAGTGTTAGCAAAGGCTTTAAAGATTGACAGAAGTTGAAAAGAACTTGGACATGAGGCAAAATCTTCAGAGGTTTCTAGTTACCAGTGTTTCCTTCAGTCTCTACAGCACATGCTGACTCCCTCTGCAGCCGTGGATCCCAGCATTTTCCAACTGAGCCTCACGGTTGCTATCTTCTTCACAGAATCATGGAATCCCAGGTTGGAAGGGACCTCAGGGATCATCTGGTCCAACCTTTCTAGGCAAAGCATGACCTAGACTAGATGTCCCAGCATTCTGTCCAGCTTAACAGTGTCCAACCTTAGGGAATCCACCACTTTCCTGGGGAGATTATTCCAGTGGCTGGTGTTCCCACTGAAAAATTTTCCTCTTGTGTCCAGCCAGAATCTCCCCAGGTGTCACTTGTGCCCATCACCCCTCCTCTTTTTTCATGTGACTGAATGTAAAAAGGGAGTTTCCATCTTCTCTGTAGCCACAATTTAACTACTGGAATATGTTACTTTCCTTAACCTCTTCTTCCCTACCTTGTTTCTCCCAGTCAGTCATAAAATTTAAACAAGTGATTTAAACAAGTCTTGCCCCTGCCCCACCAAACATTTACCATACAGCCTTGCCATTGCTATGTCTTTGGGACAAATGGGCTAAGCAAGGGATCAGCCATCTGAACATCAACTCCACTGGCTTTTGCAGCCCACACAGTACATATGGCAAAGAAAACCTACACAGACAAAAAAAAGAAAGGATGTTTCCCAAATGTCATGGGGACAAATTAATTTCTAAAATGTTCACAGACCAGTGAAATAATGGGGACAGATATAATCACTGCCTAACACTGTAATTCCAGGCACATGTTAAGACAGCTGAAGCTGGCAATTCAAATGCAGTCGAATAAGCAGTCACCCTGCCTTGCACCCTGGGCCCTTGCTCCTTCCCTTCTCATTACTCTCTTGCCCTGGTGCAAGCATTTGTGCAGTGACACAAAAGAAACCTGATGAAAACTAATCCATTAGAACAAAATTAAGGCAGGGAAACTCCTCACTGCAGTTCAAAGTGGGGCTATGCAAATTCCTGACTGGCACAACGGAGGATGGGATGTTGCAGCTGTGGGAAAAAGAGCAGCACTAAGAAAATGGTTACTGTTTGTTTAAGCTTCTGGGCTGGTTTACAGACCTAAAATACAGGAGAAATTAAGTCTAAGAAAATGATGTAACCATATAGATGAGCCACTTTTCTCCTTTCTTCTAGCCTCTTACTTCTGGTGCTGCCAGCACCTCAGTTGATCTCAAGAGCAAGTCAGCCCCGAGATTTAACCAACAGGAAAAATGCTGATTTTCTACTGGTTTAGGTTTCTGAATAATTCGATGCATGGTCAGTCAAATGCTGCAGCCAGCCCAAGGGAGCTGCTGAGACTATACATCGTTTAGCTGTGCTGCTAGACTACACCCTGCAAGAGCTTAGCAAATACTGCAGCAACAAAAACAGTTTTAAAAGGGCACCCTCAAGCCAGCTGGAACAAGGACAGCAACAGTCAAGTGCTGTTCACAGTCCTTAACAAGTAAGAACTTCAAAGGAGAGGGCAGAAGCAATGGCAGATCATCTATCTAGCAAGTAAAATTTATCATGTCATTTTTTACAGTAACAAGCTCACCTAAAAGAATCTGTAGAGCAACCTTAGAGCTGTTAAATTAGTCGAAAGAACTACAACAGCTTTATTGGTTTCAGACTTTAGGTTTAAAACTAACAGCAACTTTTAAACAGTTGAGTCAGTGGCAGCTTCAGCTTCTCTTTCTGCCTGCTGCTTTTAGGGATGGCAATCATCAGGCTGCATCTTCTGACTTGGCTGGCTTCCACCTTGGCTGCAGATACCACTCCCCACACTTCACAGTCTCTTAACAGAATAGGTTTATAGTAGCCCAGCGGAAGCAAGACCATGCTAAATCAGAGATGTCTTTCTGGTTTAGGCTGGCCTCTTCTGCATGACCCAGTGCTTCTGAAATGTGACAAGGGAGAAAAGCTGAGAGCATGAAAGAGCATAACACCAGAGATGTTCTTTCAACACATAATATTGCACAAGGGACTAGCTGTGCATGGAGTAGCAGGCTGACAGCTCCAGGAAACACAAGCCATGGCCTTGACCTCATGAAGCACCTGTGAGGAAGGGGTTGAGTGCCTTGGGATGTGGTATGAGCAGGAGCCAACATCCCAGCACCCTGCTCAGTCTTTCCAGTGAGCAAACAAGACTGAAATGCAGGCAAACATGACACATCTTACTCTACAAGCGAACTTTACCCAAAGTGAGAGCATACACTGGGGAATCACAGTGTCAAATTAACAGAATTTGAGTGCCCATTAACACAAAACCAGAGCAAACTGCCCCAGAGTGGGCTCCCAGGCCTTGAAGCACACC